AACCGCGTTTAACCGCGTTTTTTCTAGGACACCGCGGTGCATCATGGGGGAACCGCGATAACAATAAAATCCCGCGGCTGACCGCGATTTTTTCGAGATTTGTTTTCCGTGGGTAATTGTTGAATGAAGTGTTCTTTCTAACTTGACAGAAACGCTCTGACAAGTGCTCTGTACATGATTACCACCATTTTTAATTCGAAAAGCATAACGTAAATTTTTGATATTAAAAAAACTTCGGAGCTTAGACTTGATGAATTTAGAGGAAAATCGCACATTAATCTCTAAGCTCTATTACACAGAAAGAACAAAAAGATACGCAGCTAAATACAAAGACCGAATTATTGGATATATTCTCGTTTGCAAAAATATTTTTCATCTAATCGTTTTAATTTTCGAAAAATCTGGTATGAGCGTGATTATGACTAAAATTTACGTTTATCAGAGATGGAATCGGATGGCTTTGAGGTCTTTTGCGCTGAGTTACAAAACAAAACACGAGTCCAACCAATCATTGATAGATATATTGGCACCCAAGTTTATCTCAACATATGATAGAAAGAAAATAAAGACAACGCAGTGAAAAAGCGGAACATATAGGTTTCTGACTTTTCTTAATCGGTAAAAACTAGGAATGATGCTAACATTCCGTTAGAATAAGGATAAAACAAGAACACCACGAGATCGCTGCCAAATTTCCTTCATTTTTTTTGAAAAAAATTATTTAATATAATATAACAAGTTTGCTTTAAAGTACAATAGATAAGACACCTAAAATAACAGAAAAGTCTCTGAAAAGCAACCTTTTTCTGTTAAAAGCAGAAGAGGTGGCAACACTAGCTTTATAGTTGAGTTTCAAACTGAAAAATCTAATCTGACTTTTTATAAGATCTTCCAAGACTTTTTCGACAACTGCATTCGTTCAGATCATACCATAATTTTGTGCAGAAGGTTTACAGTTATTTTTTCTTGAGATATGATAAGGTTCTTTAGAAAAGATCATTAGGACAGTTTTGAATCATTGACGTTACAGAAATATTTCGACAGACCGCTATTAAACCAATACGTGCGTCTCTATGCCACTAAAAGCGAACAGCAGATGTCACCCATATAAAGATACTTCTGATGTCGATATCGATAGGACGCATACGTTACCGACACTTGTTTCAACACTACAGAGTGTCAAACTTGAAACTTGAATTCAATTGAAAATTGAAAATTGAAATTTTCAACTTTCAACAGATAGCTACATATGTGTGATTCACGATTCTTCAGAATGCTATTGGTTTAAAACTTGAAAGTTGAGCATTTCAATTTTCAATTGAATTCAAGTTTCAAGTTTCACATATATGTCAATCCTAATAAAAGTAATTATATCTCGGCAGATCCAAAATTTCGATACCATCAAAGTGATGCTTGAGAGAACACTCATATTTATGCAAGAATTGTGAGCTCCAAGAGAATTCCGTAAACAAAAGAAATAAGACAGAAAAAGTTTTCAACTAAGAAAAAAACGTTGTTGTCTGTATTCTTTAGTTCTAGTTCATGAATATAAAGATATGGTGATATGGCTAATTTTTCAACATCATCGACTCAGACTTTACATATTCAAAAAATCAACAGATTAGCGAAAGAGGCCCTTTTTTCTAGAAAAGCTGAAGCCGTGCGAGAATCAATAATAATGTTTTAACAGAGACTTTGACCGAGACCTGAAATTTCTTTTTATCGGGATTCAGTGTTGAAGTCATGGGCCTCAGCAACTCTAGAAACTTTCGAGCCTTCTCCTAGCAAATTTTTTTAAGCATAGGTTTTCTGTGCCAAGGGGGTTTGACCCCTAGCGACATTTTTAAAGTGCGTATTTAGTTAGCTGATGACTCAGCTCCCCTAGCCCAAAGCCCTGGCTCCACCACTGGCTTTATTACTTGTTATTATCAAAAGCATTGAAAGAAGCGATGACATGATTACCACTGGTTTTTCTTTTAACTTCAACTCATAATGATAGTGACAACAACATTCATATCCACTCTTTGTAAATATTATTTGGCTATCAAGTTCATTTCAAGAAAAATGAATTTTTTTATAATCCTAAGGAGAAGGAAAATGTTTGTATTATTTCAGCAATCTGTTTGTGAAAATAGAATTGAATATTGAATAATTTGATATCAAAATACTCAGCGCAACAAAATCTAGAAGTTCTTAAAACTTCAAAGAATACTCATAGGGGAATTTTATTGACTGATCATATTTTATGGATGAATTTATGAAAAACTAAATGAAAAATCGTGATAGAAAATAATTTTGGAGCTCGCTCGCTCATCCAAAACTTGAATTTGAAGAGACGTTTGATCAGTACTGTTTGTTCTAGAGCAAATTTCAGTCTATAGAGCTAGTATTAACATCGTTCCTTTTAATGTCCAATTTATGATTGATCTTTTTTTGAAATATTCTTCCTCTCTAAAACAGTACATAGTCATTCAGAAAACTATTTTAAAACCTTGAATTCTTAGGGAATCTAATGCAGCTTTTCACGAGAAATTTGAATCTAACGAGTGTCACATAAATAATTACCCTCTGAGTATTTTCGAATTTTCTTCTCTGTTATCCCCTTCATTGAAGCACCTTTTTTTCATCAAAATATATAGCGCTTGGAATTCTATATAAATCGTATGTGACCAGGCCTAAAAATGGCTTTAGATACATTTGAACAAAGTCGAAAACAAAAGGCATGCGAACACGCGGAAAATGTACATATTAAAATGGTATTATGAATATTACACTTGGTTGTTTTGTCTTTGTGGAGTCTCAGAACCATGAAAATGCTAGTGAACCGCGTAGATCTCGATATGCACGGCAACTGCTTTTTCTAACGAGGTAACCGAAATTATGCTCAGAAAAAAGTTATAAGATCCAGAAAATAGATAGTACCACTTTCTTTCAGAGAAGATGACATCTTCAGTGTGTGTGCTGTAAATATTTTCTGAGCATAATTTCGATTACCTCGTTAGAAAAAACAGTTGTCGTGCATATCGAGATCTACGCGGTTCACTAGCATTTTCATGGTTCTGAGACTCCACAAAGACAAAACAAGCTACTACTATAGAAACATCAACAAAACAACCAAGTGTAATATTCATAATACCATTTTAATATGTACATTTTCCGCGTGTTCGCATGCCTTTTGTTTTCGACTTTGTTCAAATGTATCTAAAGCCATTTTTAGGCCTGGTCACATACGATTTATATAGAATTCCAAGCGCTGTATATTTTGATGAAAAAAAGGTGCTTCAATGAAGAGGATAACAGAGAAGAAAATTCGAAAATACTAAGAGGGTAATTATGTATGCAGATACCTGTTATAATAGGTTTTATGATTGAAACGAAAAAAAGGGTCTAAATATAAAAAGTTATTATTATTACTATCAGCCAAAAATTTTTACGAATCCTGATAGTTTCCATGAATTTGAGTGCTGTCATAGGATTGGTCTAGAGACGTTCGATGGATAAATCCTTGAATTAAAAGCAACTTCTTCTATAAATAAAATAACGTTGTACGAACTTTTTTTCTGACTCGTTGATTTTCATTTGTTTTACGCGTTATTATTGTATAAGATTCATCGCATCTAAGACACAATTTGTCCTACTCAAGCGAGTATTGTGATTTTCATTTATTGTGAATGTGTAAGAAGATTTGAATGTGAATATGAGTAAAAAGGAAATCTAACTACTAACACACATTCTTTATCGAAATCTAGTTTCATAATTAATTTGATATTCTGTCACTCACATCTAAATTCATAACAATTTCTCGTTAAAATATTCAATATACAGATTCACTTTAAGATAATTAATGAGAACAACAATTTCGAGGATATAAATGTGAAATGCGGCAAAGTTATTGTACATTCATTGTTCTAAACCGGAATCTACACCTGTACCGTTTTAAATGTAAGTCTTATATTTGTACCAAACAAATGATTTCATTATTAACCTGTAAGATTCATTTTGTTTTGAAGAATTGCATTTATTGACATCAGATTCAAGTACCAAATTGGAATATTTGAAAAGAATAAATAAGTGTAGGATTTTCTGGACAGACATCGTTGGTTTCTTAATCATAAATAGTTTTCTAAATGATTAAGACGCTATAATGTATCAGCATTTAAAAACGATTTTCTAACAATAAACAAAATATTTTCTTTAAAAATATCGATATTAATATGAAAAAAGTAATAGTACTCGAAGATCATTAAACTATTTTCTTTTTTAATCAACTTATTTGAATCAGACGAGAAAAATTTGGTAAAAAGTTTTTTATCTTAAGAATACGAACACATTTGGAGACAAGTTGCTATTGAATTAAAATTATAATCAACCTCAACTTTATTCTTCTCTATATCGCAATAATTTGAAGAAAAGCAAAAACAATTTCGTAAATCTCATTTTAATTTTTGATTTTTCCTAAATAAAAGAGAAGTTAATATTTATAATTCTTTCGTATTTCGATTAATACCGATTACATCAACATGTGTTCTTACTTTTTTTCGATCAAATATCACATATGGTTCGATTCGCCTCTCCAATAATTATATTGAAGGAGACGAGATGCAACAACAAAAGAATTCTCATTTGTCATTAGTTAAGTGATTCGAGTAGTTTCACATATTTTTTGTCGTACTCTTCGGTAAAAAATAAAGAGAGATGAATATATTTCTAAAGATCTTTTCTAAAAATGTATTGTCAAATGAAAATATCTAATTCTAATTAATAATTTAGGAAGAATTTGTTTTTTTATTCGTTCAATTTAAAATTAATTTTAACGATGTTGACAAAAGAGCAAGAGAAACTATTTATTCTTTTTATTTAATCAACATAAAAATTTCTCACATTATTGATTAATTGTTTGGTGGCCAAACAAATGGTAATGACGCTCGATTAAAAAACTCCACAACTCTATTAATGCGAATTCGATTCTCATAATCATTAACTAATTGAACATATTCAAAGCCACTATTGATAAATAATGAACTATTATTTTCATTTTGAATTTGTCCATAAACATAAGGAACCATAACATGATATAACGAAGATGAATTTGTATGGCCACTAATTGTCATTCTTATTTGACCATCTTGACGAAATAATGCTGGTTTTGTTAGTTGATTGATTTTACAAAAATCTAGCAATTGATTATATTGTAAACCTTCAGGAAATTTTGGATGATACCACACAGCATCATTTGTAAATACATTTAACCATTGTGAACAAGGCATCGTCCATAATGAAAACAAGTGTTCAATGTTGTCAACAACCGATTCATTTATTGTTCCAATAGTAACATTTATTGAAAATACAAATATAACAATTAATAGCAGAGATGAATTCAATCGAAACATATCTAAATATAATTATAGAATTAAATCAATACTATTCAATCATAAAAATATATCAAAATATTTTATTGATTATCAAATATTCTTCTTTATAAATGTTTATTTTTATGTGAATATTATCATCTGTCATTTTATCTAACAATCAAATATAGTCGACTTGAATCGTAAATCTGACATCGTTAGAACAAAAATAAAATGATATTCGACAAGATTTGTTTCAATTTTGGTTCTTTTTTTTATCTTTAAAACTAATCGAAATTTTTCTATGAGAACATAATGACATGATTATCACACAATGTTTACTTTTGTTTTTAAATCATTTGGTTGTTCTAGTATTCAATTAAATAATCGAAAAAAAATTAAAAATGATGAAAGAAAAAGAACTTGTATATTTCGAACTATTTTTTATGTTTGCTAATCTATTTTATTAATCTAAAGTCAATGCAATTTCTTGAGATACAATTAACCAACGTTAGATTAAGAGAAATCAGTGAAAATATATTTTAAAAAAGTTTAACTTGAATCCAATTAATTACAAAATAAAATGAAAATTGCTATTTCGACTTTGAATTAACGATAAACAAACAAAAAGAAAACTTTTTATCTAATTTTATTTTTATTAAAACGAATTTCGAAATTATATCAAAACTAGTAAGTACGATCGTTTTATGTTTTCGATTGAAAATGAATTGTTAAGTTCTGCATTTTATAAGAAGAAAATAATAAAACAATAAATAATTTATTTAGGTCGTTGAAGTAGAATATTGTTTTCTTATTTTCATATGATAAACTGAATTTTTTCAACAGCGAGAAGAAATTATAATTTTGAAGAACTTGACTTACTTGGTAGATAAAAGTTTGGCACGTCTGAAAAGAAAAATAATAATTCTCCTCTAAGCCTTCGTATAAAAATTAACGAAGTATACAATGACTGTGTTGACATTTATATTAATAAAGTACTTTACAAACTGAATATCAATTATATTTATTCAAATTAATTGGTTTTTATCAATATTTTATGCCGATTGTGAATCTGGAATCATGTTCTTGACTTAAGTAAGTATAGAATAGATAATAATCTGATTATGGATTTCATGCTCCATCAACCATTTTGACGGAGAATAAATTGTTTTGCTGGAGTTTAAGAGTTTTTTTAGCAATATATCAAAAGATGTAGAATTTAAATAGTTTTCAAAACTTATATATTAGTTGATTTGCGATGGTATGAACTCAACATGGATAAATTCAAAATACTAGAAAATCTTCATTTTAAAGAGTTTGAACCGTAGACAAATAGCTGCAAATGCTCTAGTGAATTTTAAATATTGTTCGATTACTTTCATTCATTTTGAAATGAACTACAAAAATCAAATATGTTGTATCAATAGCAGGACTGGTGAATTTCCTGGTATCTTCAGTTTTCTCCCCTTGAATCTTAGTAACCACGTTGAAACATTTCAATGACTCCAGAGAAAAACAGCAATATGAAATAGAAGGATTCAGCTATTTGATTGATGTAACAATGAATTGAAGGTTTTGCTTTTATTGATACATCTCAACTAAGTTTATGACTTTAATAGACGAATTCTATGCCAAACATTTGCTTGTTTTAATTAGATCAAAAGAAAGAACTCTGAATATTTGTGGAATTTTTTCAATCCACGAACCAACGATCGACGAGGTATTATATTCACTAGAGCAAGATTTTGTATTATTATTTGAGAAAATTTCTCATATTTCATAGTTATTTTACTCCGATCAACTATCATAGTAACTAGCTACTATTTGCTCAAGTTCAACATTTGAGGGTGTGAGTGTGGGTGGGTGCGAAGAGATGACCCACACCGGACACACCACATCCACACCCTAACCCGACCCGCCCGTGTAACCTGAAGAAATCTGACATTTAAAACTTAATTTATTTTATATAATAATTCTATGGTTGGCAAAAAATAATCTTGGTATCACTGAAAACAAATCGTACCATACTGATCCAAAAAAGGTCTATTGGACTACAAGAAGGTTTCGAATTTGTTGCAATTCTCGAAATCCTTTTAGGTTCCGTAGAGAGAACTAGAAAATACCTGAGAAAGAATCCTATGCCAATTACAAAATGTTCTGAAGCACTCGAAGTTTTCACGAAACCCTCAAAAAGGTTTCGCAAAATCTTCGGTGCCACAGAATATTTGTAATTATCCTATGATTCTTTCTGTTATGATCTGTGCATGCACACACAGATCATTAGCATCATCTACCTCGACAACGCTATCTTTCTTTCTCCTATTGTCCTCTACACATTATGTATTCTTTATCTCATTGGAGATAATTGAATACGAGTATATCTGTCCCTGTTATTGGTTTCAGCTCTTGTTTATTATTATTGTTAAAGTGTATGTTATCGAACCTGTGAATAAAGAAGTGAAAGTACACCTTAACACTTTCTCAAGTATTTTCTAGTTCTCTCTACGAAACTACAAGGATTTTGAGAATTGCAACGAATTCAAAACTTTTTTATTCTAATAGAACCCTTTTTAGTTTGGCATCGTACCATTTCTTTTCAGTGATTGGTTGCGTTGTATTTAAAAATATTTGCATGTTGACCACTAGATGCAGAAACTGTTGAAAATGAACGAACGACATTCGATGATAATGTATCATCAAGCGATTCATCCGGTGATACATCGTTTAATTCAATCATCGTTAACGAAAAAAAGCATCACCCGCCCGAACCCGTGTAATCTTACATCCGCCCCGCCCGCTCGTCACCACGTGGCCCCGTGGACCGCACACCTCTGATCTACACTATTTCTATTTCATTGCTAACGCTATGGGTACACATAATTCATGCGGAATTGCCACCGTACTTTGTCGCCACCTATCAGGTGAAACTGGATTTAAAAAATAAATAAAAGTGTATTTTGAAAGAGTATAGATCCTAAATAATTTCTATCATAAAATTTTTTTCTGATGCAAACATTTTTTTAGTAGTGCATTTTAACATTGATTGGCGTTTCTAGCTATGCTTTTTTTCACCAAATCACGTACTAATAATACTAATTGACCAGTTGTTTTTTTTCCTTTTTAGAAATAATGCTTCGACTAAATTGAAGGTGAATGTGGCATCTAATAATTTAAATACTCAAACTCATCTTGAGAAAGAACATCAAGCTCGATTAGAATCAATTAGTATAAATATAAAGGAGATTAGTACAGCGATTGGTGAAATAAGAGAGCAACTAGATCATTTCAACAAGAGATTTATTATTCTCGAGCAACAACAAAATAAAACGGCACATACAACACCACTGGCAAGTGCAACAAACTCTACCTCAATAGAGACAATAGAAAACAACAATACAATTTTTCCAGTAGAGATAACAAGGAAAGAAGAAACTCAACGCTCCACCTGCTTCTTGTGCGCTTTCTTCGGTAGAAAATGCACACTATACTTTGACGATTTATATCGTTTTGATACGAAAACAATCAACACGGAAATCGGCGCTGATCCAATACGACTACAATGTCCATGCAAACATCTCATTCGTTATCATGAGCGTAATCCAAGTAATTCTTTGAAAAATAAATTTATGATTAAAAATATATTTTCATTTAGATTCATTAGAAACAGAACTTCCTGCATTTGCAAATCCACCACTTCGCCAGCGTCTCTATGAAGATTGGGTTCCTCCACTTTTTCAAGGCTGGATAAATTGTAAGTGAATATGTCTAAAGAAAAAAAAGATAGCATTTTTCTGACTGCACTGCTTTTAAATATCAATCAATAAATATAATACTTCATTTTTTTGATTTACTTCATAGTTTTCCTATGTTTCTACACTCTAAAAAAATCGGTTGCTTATACCGAACCCCAAAAAAGGTTCCGGAGATTTTGAAAAGCTTCCACAGGTGTCCAAAGTCTCAAAAAAAGGATAAAAAAAATCTACGAAACCTTTTTCTGTTGTACGGAACTTAAAAAAGGTTTCGCAGCAAAAGGTTCTTATTCTGGGCACACCATAAGAACCTTTAAAGGTTTCGTAGATTTTTTTTGAGACTTTGGACACCTGTGGAAGCTTTTCAAAATCTCCGGAACCTTTTTTGGGGTTCGGTATAAGCAACCGATTTTTTTAGAGTGTAAGATATATTTATTTTTCTGTATTGTTTTTATCTAAATCATCATAAATGTTAAAAACTTGCATAAAAATTATTTTTAATCACTTTTTTTTATGACTGATTTTTTTTCTAAGGCCATAAGATAAAAATCTAGTCTATTGCATTTTTTATTGGAGCGAAAAATTAATTTCTAAATGAACTTTAAAACCACATTCTCCAGTCTCATTAGTATTTTTGTACAATAATTCGCTGAATACTATCTTTGATAATTTGTATAAAATGTTTATTTCATCATAATTAAGTGTAATGTGATAGAAATGGACTTCTATCAATTTATGAATAGTAGTCCACCGAATAAAAAGAAAAAATATTCATATTTTTACTTTTGCACATATCTCTGACCATACATTTTTATGAATCATATCAAACATAATAAACAGGTATTTGCTTGAAAAACTAATTAGAAGATTCGTTTGATTCTGAGTGGAGCAGAATTTTTGAATTTTTCTTGTTTTTCTTCATAGAGAAAGAACCATTCAATTTTAGTAGGATATCATATTTATTATTTTATTTCTATTCTTATTTAGCATGTTTATTAATCAGATGTGTTTTTTAAAGCTTTGACTATTTTTTCTGAAATATATTATATTTATTGTAATTAGAATATTTTGATCACCCTGAAGGAAAGGAAAAAAAATGAAAGAGCTTCAAAAAGATACTTCTTTTCATTGTTTTTATTTTCTTTTACGTTCGAAATTATTCTTGATTGAAGACAAACAAATCATCTATCTTAGAATTATATTTCATTTTTCTATGTTTCATAAGTTTATTATATTAAAATTCTGAATTTGTTTCTATAGTATAGCCTTCATAAGAATAAGTAGACATAAAAAACGTTTTTTAATCTCTAAATGAAGACATTCTAATGTGAAATGGTTATAGATTATTCATATGCATGCTATTATTCAACAGTTTTAGTTTTTCTCGTGTAGAAGATTCCTAAAGATCCATACTAGTTCTCATTCAATGAGATATTTCTATTGGATTATTATTATCTCAATACTCTGCAAGTATTATCCCATTTATATCTCTGTTAGATATCATCTGGTAATGCTCATTAATAATTATCAATCAATGTATAATTCGAACGACTCTGTATCTGATAGGCTGGGAATAAAGGATTATATAGTTATTTTTGAAAAAGTTGCTTTTTAGGCGGAGAAAATATTTTTTACCTTTTAAAATAGCAGTAGAGAATCATTTTTTTCTTTCAAAGTAACTGATTTGATTTCTTAACTACCTATTAGAATGTTTCTACAAATCAACTATTGACTAAGAAATTTTCCCCGTTGCAATAAACTAGATAGAAACAATATTACTTTTTCTATATGCCACAAAAATGAACTTAGTGATGTTCTCTTTTAGATGTTTCAGCTTATAAAAAGAAATGCAATGAACTTGAACAAGCAGATGACTTAACTAAAGAAGATTAATCATGATCAATATGTACATAATGAATATTCCGTATGTATTTTTTCCGCTTATTGTTTTGCTGTTCTTCTTTTCTTTGTGTACATTGTCTCAAGAAATATTATAGTTGATCGTTTTCGACGATAACTTGGATTCATTTTTCAATTGTCGTTTTTTATTAATTAATATGCATTTGTGAAGATCTTAATAAACAATGATATGCACATCATTTCGATGCTAATATCCTTGTGTGACACTCGCTTGAATCATTTTTTGTTGTTAAATTCATGTTAAAAGTTGCTATTTTACAAGAATACACATTGAAATTGTAATTATTTGTTTTCTATTGCATTAATGAAAATTTTATAATTCGACTTTATTTTATTTTACTTTTGACAAAGAATTCACCATAGGATTGCTACAATCACATATTTAACCAGCTGTAACAGGTAGTGGCGGCGCCAAGAGTGGGCTCAGTCCACCCGAAAGGAAGTTGAACCCACCCTGAAACAAGGTTTAGTAGCAGCGTCAGAGACGGTCTCGAGTGATCTGAGCCCACCCTCAAGGAAATTTCTGGCGACAATACTAGTAATAAACCAATACTTACATATTATAATTTGATTAAAGTTTTATTTTCTCATTGATTTTGCTCTTTGTATCTGGAAATGAAACTTTTCGATCGAAATGAGATAAGGAGCGGCATTTATATGATAAGAAATAGAATATTTGGTTAAAACGAATATCCATTTAGAATCTATGATGACAGTTTTCGATAATTTCTATGGATGTTGAAAAATCTGTAAAATAACAACTTGTTTCTGTGTTATACTGGATTTTGACAATGATGATGATGATAATGATCAAAGTGAATCATTGAATTTGTTTTT